CAGCAGCAGTGGCTGGAACAGGCAGAAAGGAAAGGCATGCCACCCTGGACTGCTCAGTCAGCTGAATGTCAGGCCTATCAGATGAAGGAGCTCAATGTCAGAAGCAAGTATGAAATTCTCCGGTAGCGTGTATAGCCCTTCTCAGATTCAGCAGGGGAAAACATTCTATTTATAAGCCACACACCGGCCGGGATCCTACCGCAACAAAGGCCTATGATCTCAGGGGGTTTTCATCTTAGCTACCGGCTGCCTAAAAATGGCAACAGGACGCTCATCCTCCTGCCCTCCACACTCCAGTCCCCCTCCCTTAGCTCATGCCCTTAATAAAGCTGCCAGTGATCAGTTCGAAGAGTTGGACACACCAGTGGGAGCTAAGGAAACAGACTGTGTGTAAATAGTGGTAAGTGGCCCAAATGAATGTAAAGGGCACAGACTGCCCCTGAAGAGAGTTCCTCCCACCCCTGATTTACTGGGGTGCTGTGTATGGAAACAGCCTACGCCAGGCACTGCAGAGACAAGGTAGGCTTTGCAAACTCAGTGTGGCTTAAACCAAGGCAATGATGAAGAATTAGAGAATGCAAGTGACCATGGAAAGCTTCCCAAGGTCATATGACTTGAACTCTACCACTGCCCAGATACAGGGTATTTTAAAAGCAATAATAAAAACTGCAATAGTTTTGCAACCTGATCATTTATGGGAGGTCACAGGCCCAGGTTAAGGTTCTGACTGATCTTTGTTCTCTTCCCCCTGATAAGCTGTAAAAAGGAGATCATTGCACTTGGAGCTCCCCTAGAAAAGGTATCATGTAAAGACAAAATATTACCCCTTCGCACAGCCCTTTGTGAACATGAAGCACTAAGTCAGGGCTGGGGGTTCATCATTTTGCTTTGCACAGAAGCATAATAAAAACACCAAGTGTGATAAAAACTGCATGCAGCCAATAATCAGAGAAGTCAAAATGAAGGGGTGAGTTCGTGTCAGAGAGAAGGAGGTGGGAGAGTGGAGAAGCAAGAGCAGAGAGCAGCTGCAAGAAAAAAGCATTTAGAAATATTCCCTCACTTAGTGTCTGTGTTGTATCAATAGTGAGAAGTGCTTCCAGGCAAGTATGAGGACAGGCCTCTGTCCCAGAAAGCTTACAAATGAAGTATTTACTTGTTTTTAAAAGGGTTGGCAGCAATGTGCCCAGTTAGTTTAGGTGCATTTAAGAGCCTCAACAACAGGCTAGCCCAAAGCTACTTGAAATGGCCCAATTAAGGGGTTTGAGACATAGGAAGTCAGAGGTGAGACAAGGTGAAACTGCTACTCATAGGAGCTCTCTTCTGACTCTGGGATGCATGGATTGTCTGGGCTATGGGCATTAACAAGACTTTATGAGCCAACTTTTTGGGGCTCTTTTTCAGTAATCTGATCAGACAAGGTCTTCCCAGAGTCTCTCCTGGCACTGTCCAGCTCAGTCCTCTTGATAAAAAAAAGTTTGTCTACTGGGTCATTCCATTGGTAGTGCTGGAGAGAATGAAGGACTGGTGTGGTTGATTTTTTATTTAAAATATCAGTAATATTTTTAAAAACATACTTGGTTTTTATAATTATCCCCTTCCTATAGCTAGCTCTTACTTCCGCCAAGCGCTTTACAAACCGAGGCAGATCCTCATCGCCCCAACACAACGGATGAAGAAACCTGACCGTCACGTCCTAGTGCAGATGAGACCAGAATTACAGTCTCAACGCCCCGTCCTTTTGTCTCATTCAAACTCTTCCATGATGACTGTCAACTATAAGCAACAGACACGGCCACATCAGTAATTATCGCATGCTGTTATGGCATGCAGGGCAATTCCTATTCACAGCACCTCCTACTCACAATGCATCATTTTCCCAAGCAACAGTTCTTGCTCCGAGAACAATACTTACTGCCTTCACTCTGATTGTCTTTGTTCGAATTGTAGACCTGGAAAACAGAAGGAAAGCCTTTAACCTTTGGGTTAAATAAATGTTCCACATGCTAGAACAATTGTAATGTATTATTTACATTACAGAAATGCCTAGAGGCCCAACCAAAGATCATAGTTCCTCAGCGCTAGGTGCTGTACGTAGTAGGAGACTCTGCCCACAGGGGTTTACCACCTAAATAGAAAAGAGCAAGACTAGGGAAAGGCAGCATTGTCATCTCTAGTTTTTAGGGGGTGCCAAGGCATAGTGAAATTAAGCAATCTATACAAGATCACACAAGATGGCAAAGCCCCACACACTCGTGTCAAATCCAGTCCAGTATTTTAGGCACAAGCCCTTCCCTTCATTAAAAACCTCTGTCTTTAGTGGATTAAGTCTTGGTCACTTTCACATCACCAAAGATGTATCTTGATGGGTAAAAAAAAAAAAAAAAAAAAAAAAAAAGGGTGGGGGGTTCAAATCCTGTCATCTTTACGCAGCTGAAATCCCTGTCCAGATGCATGCTAGCACATACGAAGCTCTGTTGGTTGCCTCTGTTAGTCAGAAGGGAGCCTCTTGTACCGCCCAGTCAGCTAACATATCATGATGGAGGTGCAGCTGGTCCAGAGTTAGCAAGCAGCATTGTGACTTGGCTCAAGAGTCCATGGTGCCCCTCAGAAGTGAGTACAAGGTTCACTCAAGTGAGGGGGCAGAACTGGATGGGAAGAGGTGGGACAGGGTGGAGCCTTAGGGGAAGATGAGGAGTGGAGGTGGAGCCAGGAATACCCCTTGGCAATTTTCAAAATCAGCACCTGTGCTGAGCAGCGGCAGCAAGTGGAATGGGCAGATAGCGCCTGGGCACTAGGAATATGCCTGGCCTGGGGGGCCTGTTCCAATGTTGGGGGCTGGGTCTCTTCTCCAGCCCTGCCTGCCTCTCCTGCATGCTCCCTACCCAGACTCCATTCCAGAGTTCAAACCCTCACTCCTCCTGCACCCCCTCCTTTACCTCAAATGCCTCTGGCCCAGCCCAGAGCTACCCAGCACCCAAACTCCATCCCAGAGCCTGCACCCCCTGCTCCCAAACTCCCTCCCAGAGCACCTGCTCCTGCATCACCCACCCCGTGTGCCAGCCCAGAGCTGGCACCTAGCATCCAGACTCCATCCCGGAACCTCTCCCACACCTAAATTCCCTCCTACAGCCTGTACCCCTCCCCCCCACAAATTCCCTCCCAGAGCCTTGGGCAGATGAAGGGGGTGAAGGGAGGGGTGTGGATTCTAGGCACCACCAAACCTGCTGCCTCTGGGTGCTGAGTGGCACTATGATGCCAGGTTGCCACAAGTGGAGTGCCAGGACAGAAGCTATCAGAGCGGAGTGTGTGCACATTGGATGCGCTCTCCAACCCCTCTCCCCACCCTCAGATCTCCTTTCTGCACCAGGCCAGGATGAGGGTTGTGGTGCTGAGGCAGAGAGTGCTGCTGTGGGTGGTCGCTGCCATCCCAGTGGCACGAGGAAAGGGAAGTGGTGGAGAAGGACGCTGATCTGTGATGTTGAACCATGGGTTAAAGGGAAGAAAAAAAAAAAAAAGAAAGCCATTGGTGGGTCATCCTACTAAAAAGCTTGGGAGCCACTGCTATAGCACACGTCACTCTCCAGTGTTCATACTAGGCAGACAGGCAAGGGCCCAGGAGAACCAAAAAGTGTGTGCGCAAACTCTGAACCAACGCTGCCAGCTATAGAGCTTTCCTCTGGCCGGGAAATAAGCTGTGAAGCTTCTATGCAAATGAGACAATGGTTCAGCCACATCCCAGAGCAGATGTTGTCCCAATTCTTAACCACTAAGGAAGCAAAGTTTTGAGGGGCCTTCCCCCCACTTGACAGAATATGGACAGCAACATGACAGTCACCATGAGGAAGGGAAGGGGGGGAGGGGGAGGAGAATTCAGAGGGAATCCAAACCAATCTCAGGATGAGACATTTTATTTTAAGAACTATCCTGGCCTCCCCTTCCCCCAACCGATATATCATAGCAATGGGCAAATGTCACACGCACACTATAGTCGCCTGTGGGCCAGAAGGCTGCCTACTTACTATCAGTGCTCTGATGTGGTTACTTCACTGCAGTCATGCTCCAGAGCTCTGAAGAAACCACAAGGCCTGTAAACTAAACTACAGTCTCGCCTTCAAAGGAACAGTAGAGTTCAAAACAAGACACATAGCAAGAATACAATCGTATTGTTTGGTGGCTCCTGTCCTTTCTGCTTCCTCTCTTTCCCCCTCCCCCTCTCAGTTTCCTACCACCCCCTGCCAAATATGTCTAAACTTGAACTGTAAACTCCTCGGAAGTCGTGACCTCAGGTCAAATCATTACCCCATTGAAGACTAAAAGAAAACAGACAGTGACTTCAGTGGGGCCAGGACTGCGTCCTTTGTTTTGTCTCTGAAAATCACTATGTGCAGTGATTGCAATTGGACAAGCAATAATGCTTCACACCTTGAAAGAACAAAAGAAAAGGGGTTGGGGAGCATGCATGGTCAAAGTCATCTGACAAACAAACTAACCTGCACTCAGTATTGCTCTCCAATGTGGCTTCTGGATCTTGGAGGGCTCCCCTTTAGAATAAACACACCTTCAACACACAGCAAATGCCTGATCAACGAGCAAGAGGCTCCAAGGGGCACATGCAACCAGCTGTGCAGTGGCTAGGTCATTAATCTGGGTTTGATTGGAATAAATGAGCCAAGGAGAATGAGCTTTGTAACATAACCCACAAAGCACAAAGCCAGTCCAGCCTACCAAGGGGGCCATGCAGTCGAGAGGGTGTGCAAGGGGGTGTGCAAAACAGTAGACTGATAACTTTGTGGAGGATACAAGTCCTTCAGAGCAAACCAATTTCTATTAATTCATTTTCTTATCTTCTCCCCTCTCCCCAGCTAAAAGGACAAAGGGAAAAGGCAAATTTTCATTCTTATAGAGGGGCACATGCTCTTACTTCTTCAAAGACTTGGGCACCAAGACTGAGACCTGAGATGAGTTTTAGTAGAAAGGAAATCAGGACAAGACCAACTGAGCTACACTGAAACTCTATGTACTGAACCAATGGCTGCAATTAAGTACCAATAACCATCTTTAAAAAATCATTTGTCTTTGTGTTATATTGTGCTTTTCCAACATTATTCTTTACACTTAGTTAAGCCACTTAAATCGATGCCTCTCCAGGGAATGTCAAAAGAATACCAAGTTATCATTCCTAGAATTCTTCTGCTGGTAACCCTTGCCACTATTACATGGGCCTTACTGAGAAATCACAGTAACACTTCTAGGAATTAATGGAGCAACAAAAAACTGAGAGCCTGACTGGGGAAAATGTCTTTTTTTTTTCCTGCTAGGATCCAAGCAATTTTGACTACGCATTTCCAAACAGATATACTTCTCAATCTCTCCCTCGGGGCCACCTATTACCATAGAATTCAGGCACTCCGAGCTAACTACAGTACGTGATACTTGAAAACTAGAGATTCCTTTGGCAAGAAAGAAACTGTTTTAAAACATGTTAGCAAGGGGGATTACTCGACACCAAAAAAAAAAAAGCTGCAGTCAGCAAAAGCATTGTTCTCCAGGGACAGCATGCATGGCAAAAAAAAAAAAAGTAAAATAAGTGAAGACAAACAGGAAAGTGAACAGAAAAATGAAGACTGATTGTGTAGTCTCTGACTTTCCCCATAGAACCCCTCCCTCTGTCTCTAAAGAATCCACTCTGGCAAGCATCTGTAAGGGGAGGAGAAAAGAAAGAAGAGCTGGAGGTTAACCCCTTGCTCACTGGAGGTCAAGCAGCTTTCTACCCCTTGCCTATGAATCCCAGAGTTTAAATATGTTCAGTTTTAGTGCACAAAACCACCTATACACGCCAGGTGACACTGTTCTTTGTGTGTCTTTTTTTAAGCTATAAATTTCCTTTCCTCACGCAAAACGACTTATCCACTTTTCTATTTTTCACCCAGATTCATGGCTGTTCAAGTACACATTTCACTGGATCCCACATAATCAAAGCTCCAGAGGGAGCTATTTGATCTGAGGAAGTGGGTCTGGCCCACGAAAGCTCATCATCTAATAAACCATCTTGTTAGTCTTTAAAGTGCTACATAGTCCTGTATTTTGTTTCAGCTACACCAGACTAACACGGATACATTTCTATCACTATTCTTCAGAGGGAGCTTTGTTTGCCTGCATGTGTTTCTTCCCCAAGTCTGGTCTTATAAGACAAGGATGACTGTGACAAACTAGTTTTAAAAAGCTTCACAGGTGTAGGCGAAAGAAGAGGAACAGGTTTCTGGGACACACTGGGTATGGCTATGCTACAGCTTGGAGCACATGTCCCAGATTCGCACGAGCATGACTTAAACTTTCGTGCTAAGGACAGAGAGCAGGATGATGTAGCACTGAAAGTGGCTCAGGCTAGCTTGGAACCAGGGTATAGGGTGGATCCGAGCGTGGGTGGCTAAGCCTGAGCCTCTGCCAATGCCACAACATCCTCACTGGCTAGAGCTGAACTAGCACAAGTTTATCCCGGCTGGGAAGCTCCCTCCCAGCTGCAGCGTACATATACCCATATAGTACACTGGCGCTATTAACAACAAAGCCTCTGGATAGAGTAAAAAGGGACTTTTGTATTTCAGTTTGTCACGCAGCTATAAAATGATATACGGCCAATCCTTCATCTAGCTCATTGTAAAAAGAAATTCCTCTGAGTGCGTTAAGCCTTTAAGCCCAATTCTCTAACATTCATGAAATATCCTTTAATTCTGCAAAAAGCCACTGTGCTTAAAAGGGAATTCCTTACCATATGATTAGATTTGGCCAGTAATTCGCAATTAGATATTTTGGGCCCCTTCGCTGTTGCAAACCCCATCTTTCTCTTTCTAAAAATCCCTGAATTCCACACAGGAAAACTGTCCTTTTCCCTAGGAACAGCTATGGAATATGTACAACTCCATTTCATTTCAACTTCAGTATGAAAAAT